TTTCTTTTACTCTCATAAACAGATTCCTAATTCTCACAGTGCTGAGCTTACTGTAAATGTGGCCCTCACATCTGCGTGTATGTGGTTTGGAAAGAGAGCTCAATTTGTGTGTGTAACTTTTCTTTCAGGGCCTTGTCTTAGGCATCTATGCAAATGAAAAGGAAGAGGGACCTCCTCAGTTTACTGATGCAGGAGATGCTTTTGATAGACGTGTATCCGGGAAGCTGAGAGAACTTTTGTCCATGTGAGTGTTCAAACCTGTTTCTTAGCTGTTTGGCAATATCAAGAAATTTCAGGAAATAGATGTGTTAATTCATTATTAGAGTTTGCAGCCATACCATTTTTTACATTGGTATTCAGTCCTCACAGGCTTGGTGGGTTTGAGCTGCAGCAGTACATAGGTGTTGTGGGGAGTGGAAGCATTGATTGGGTAGATTTTGTTTCTCTTTAAAATCAGTAATGAGGCAACGTCTTTGTGTGGTGTTAAAGGGTACAGTGTGACTGGAGAATGAAATTGTTGCCACAAGAAATCAGGATCTTAGTTTTAAAAGAATGTCTGGCACTTCTTATGTTTTAGATCCGGGCCTCTTTTGAAGAAAGGCAAAACACGCATCTTTCATGGTTTGCATCAGGTATGATGCCTCAGTTTATATGAAGTATATTGATTTGTCTGTGACCTCCATGCGAGTCTTGGCATTTTAAGCTTATTTTGGATGTAGCACGTTCAGGCGGACTGTTTTGCTCCCTCATCCAGTAGAAGATGTCTGTGTGCACTTTTGTGTCCCTGTGATGCTATAATGGGTCTTATACCAGGAAGGAGACTAAGACATGGTTGTCTTAAAATAAATGCAAGTTTATTGAACCCTAACGGATACAATTCTAATTAAAATTGAAGCAGCATTAGCATTTAAAAATTGTAGGTTTGTAGCTAGTCAAAGCAGACGCTTGTCCCCCACCCCCCCAGTTGATCAGGCCTTGAAGCCTTGTCCAGGGCTCCTGGGGCTTTTGTACATGCCACTAAATTGGCCTTTAAAGCGGCTTAAATGCCCTTTTGCACTGCTTTAATGGCATTGCTGTGTACACTGTCAGCAGCGTATTGCGCGTTAAATGACTTTGGGACATAGCAAAATAAAAGATCTCCCAGGTGTTTTAGTTTGCTACCTTACAGCTGCGGAGGGGAGCACTGGGCCCTGTGCAGCTTATGGGCTGTGCAGGCCACCCATGCAAGCAGGCTTTGCTGAAAGAAAAAAAAAAGGGGGCCCACCTACCTGCCTTCCTGGGAGGCTGGTGCTTTCCTCTGCGGCTGTGGTGCCCCTTGGAGCTGCCTGGGCCAGGTGCCTGTGGGCAGGTACCACTTGGGAGACACTGCCACTGCTTTGAAGGGAAGCACCAGCCCCAGCACAGCTCAGACTGCTCGGCCCGCCAGCAGCTCGCCCTCCTCCTGCTGCTGCAGAGGCAGGTAAGGATCGAGCCCGACCCTTGTGTACACACCACAGAGGTTTACTGTGGTTTAATTCTCCCTAAATTGAAGTGGTGTTTTTAAAACCCCACTGCTTCGGTTTAGAGAGAACTAATGTGAAGTAAACCCCCGTGGCGTGTACAAGCAGGCCTGGTTCCCACGTGTGATGCTAAGACAGGATCATGGATCGGTGATAGGATCTCTTCAAGTTTTCTTTAGGAGTGTTCTGAAGGGTATGCTCTCTTGCCTCTCTTTATATACCATATAGCTTGCATTTCTTAATACATAAAATTAACTTAAGCCTTTCCCCTATTGCATATTAATGATCTTGCTTCTGTTTGTCAAATATGGTTATCTTTAATTGGAGTTTTCTATTCTGAGGTAGTCATTCCATTCTTAGGTGGGGGTAGGTTTTGCTCTGATTGTTCCTCTTTTACCCAGGTTATATTTATTCAATTTAGTTAGCCAACTTCCTGATTTGTTTCAAGTCAGGGACAGTATTTTTTCATTTGCTCCTTTCACTGGGTGCATGTCTCAACCACAGTTCAAGCTAAGCACAGAGGTCAAACCCAGGCCTGAAGGCTTCTGGGTCCCAGCAGCTCCTTGGTCCCAGGAGCCAAGATTCTTTTCAACGGATTTCAAAGCCGTAATTTCTTAGCGGTTTTTTGTTGTTGTCTTCTATATGCAATTCCTCTGAAAGGCCCAATTCAATTGACCTTAAAGTCAGTGGAATGACTCTTATGCGTTTCATTGGAGTTTGATTAGGTCTGTAGCTGTTTTTGCATACAACAACCAGTGAAGAAAGTGGGAATTCTTTGCATGAAAATGCTCCAGAATTGTTCCCTAGGCAGTATTCCTGGTAGAGGGTAAAATCGTAACAACAAGAATTTGAACCATCACTAGGTATAGTAATTCTAGAAGGTGTGTCCAAGCTGCAGTCTGTTGTGAGCTACATGTTAAATCAGTACTGCAGTTGGAAAATTTATTGTTAGAAACCTGCTTGTATTTGTAATGAAAATCTGAAGAGACCCCATGTTTTAATTTCATTTTGTTTAGAAAGGTTTGGGGAATCTTTCTACTGCTGTATGCTTTTTGGAGGGAAGTATATCAAATTGTATATAACTTAAAAGATTCCTTTCACCTCAATTATTTCTCCTTCTTTCTGCCTGCTCTTCAGTCCCTTAGAAGGGTTAATATCCCTTTCTTTCCCAGGCCGATGGTGTGTACTTAGCTTTCTACGCTTCCTTGTAGTGCTGTTATCTAGCACTGTAAAAAGAGCTCAAAATAGGAAATGGCAGTTTGACAGTGGAAGAAGAAAAATTTATTGTTTTCTAATGTTCAAGAATAGTATGGGGAAGGCTGTAGAGATTATTAACCTACTGCTGTGCCTGAAGTACTGAGCAGTGAGAGAGGAAAAGATCCTTGTCCAGGATGAAGGCATCCTGCCTTGTTGTTTGATGGATAGAAGGTAAAAATGTACACACTCTCTGTTACAAGCTTGCTGAAAATGATTCATAAATACTATGAATAATCCTGTTACTTAAATTGTTCTTTGAAGTGTGGGCCACCTCCTCAGGGTACTTTTGTAGGGCATACTACCCTGGGGCCCTGGCTGAGAACTCCAGTGACCACCGCAGTACAAATAATAACATAAATTGGACAGCAGTGAAGTTCTTCATTTTCCTGTATAAATTTTATAGGAGTAAGAGAGATTCATATCATAGCATAGCAACTTGATTTGAATGACAGATGTTATGCTTCTGTTATGTCTGCTTTCAGTATTGCTATTAACCTTCCATACTGGCTGTACTAATGAAGAAAATAATTCCACTTTGTGTCGGTTTTACACAGGACTTTCCAAGTGTTGTAGTTGTGGGCTTGGGTAAGAAGAGCATTGGAGTAAGTGATCAAGAAAACTGGGATGAAGGCAAAGAGAATATTCGGGCAGCTGTTTCAGGTTAACATTTCATTTAATGTTTACTCCAGTTCTAAATAGTTGTTTCAACTATTAAACTAATACAGATGTCATGCACTGTATTTGGGATGAAGCATGTGAACTTAAATCAAATAGTTCATCTCACATTTTGTTGAAAAATAGTAGGGGTACACTGATAGAGATTTTTGGGGCTGATACCGATAGCCATTTTTTAAGAAGGTGTATCAGCTGATACCAGTCCAGTTTCTAATACCAGCCTGGTAACTTGAAGAGCAGTGTCCAGCTGGTAAGTCTGTTGTGGTGGAAGGGGGGGGGAAGGGAAGGGGTGTGGGGGACAGACTGAGGTCCCTGTGGTGAAGGAGGGAGTGGGGCTGGGCCAGGTGCTGCCTGGACTGGGGCGGGTACGGGGCAGCCTCAAGAGGCTCATCGGGGGGGGCACCTGCTGCTGCTTCTGCTGCATGCACCCCGGGAGGTGTGTTCCTCCTCGATTTGGGTGAGGTAGACTGCCACTGCAGGCTGGGGCCAGGACGGTGCTGGGCTTTTCCCAGTGGGGGCTGGGCTGGGCTGGGCTGCGCTGTGCTCAGGGCAGGTGGCAGTAGCAGTGGGAAGAGGACTACAGGGGTGCTGCAGCCACGTCAAAATTCGCTGTAGCCCCCCCAATTCCATTTCCCAGCGCCACTGACCACAGCTGCAGCTTACCCCTCCCCATGCAGATCTGAGGTGTACACACCCTCTGTGTCTTCTGGGGGTGCGCGCAGTGGTGGGAGCGCCCCCCCCCCCCGAATCCCCCCGA